AGGTCCTGGTGGGCTCCTCCCACGTCCCACAGAGCTCCCCCAAGGCACCCCCTTCCGCCACCTCCTTGGCCCCCCTTCAGCCCAGAGAGGCTAAAATCGTCTCGAGGGGCCGTTGCCGTGGGCTCAGGGAGGTGTTGCTGTGGTTCGGGGTTGTTGGTGGCCGGGCAGCAGCTGGATCGTGGGTGCGTGTGTGACGCCTGGCAGAGCCGAGCCGGGCGTTGGCACAGCAGGCGTGGAGGGCAGTTTTCAGGACGGTGTCCTTTGGCCTGTCTCATACCACCTGTATGAGGTTTTCTTACTTGTTTCCTTACCGGTTCATATGATAAAAAAATAGTGTGCAGCTGTATATTTCTTATTCCAATGTGTAATGAAACAGGAATCAGAGCCCTGTGCTGGCAACTGCAAGTGTGTGTGTGTGTGTGTGTGTGGGTGTGTGTACATGTATGCACAGCTTGTTGCCAGAGTAAGCATTTTGATGAAATTCTCACTGACTGAAACATGTCAGCTGCATGAAAAGTTCCTTTTCATTCAGGCTCTGAAAAACGTCCTCGTACATAATTTGAGAAGTACTGAGTCGCTGAACTAGCACACGCTGTTTCATTTAATCCCCACAGGCTTCCTAAGTACGATAGTGAATGTGCAAAGATCTGCGTGGTTAGCGTTGTTCAAGAGCAGCATTGTTAAACTAGGGTTTCTGCCTGTGAGCTCTCATAAAGCTGATGTTTTCCATTTGGTTGCCTTTCTTTTATTTATGCAGATGACCATGCTGATCTGTCTTTACAGACAGGCCTGAGAGGTGCCCTTCAGAGCTACCACTGGAAAACACAACTGAAATGCAGTAGTACTCTGCCTGTCTCTCTGACTGAAATAAGCAACGTGTAAGTATTGTATCTGAAATAATCCTGCATGACAAAGTCTGTCATTTTCTATAACAAGTTAATTTTGCTTTGTGACAGTGTTACATGAAGTAATCTTTAAGTCTCACAAATATTTAAATGTTTAATGTGGCCTATTTTTGTTTTATTAATTACTAACTTAAAAATTACAGGTATGTAGCCATCTTTTGGAAGATATGTTATGCATACAGTGTACAAAATCTCTTTTTTATTAATCAAGTGTGACTAGAGTCTCTAAAGGAACATGAGTTTTATCTTTTTTTTCTCCTTTCCTGATGCAGAGTTTGTTTTTCCCATATTTCAGCTGTCATGAAATGCCAGTATTGGTTTCATGACATTCAGCTTTCATTGTGTAGGCTCACTGTGAACAGACGTTTCAGCACTTCACAGTCGTCAGTGGATTCAAAGGAAATGAAAAAATTCCAGCTCCTCGCCCATAAGTGGTGGGATGAAGAAGGAGAATATTCAGCCCTTCATTCTATGAATGATCTTAGAGTGCCATTTATTAGGTATGGTTTTGAAGACAGATTTTTTTTTTCTAGAGGTACTGTTTCTGCACAACCTGAGAAAATACTGTAAAAGAAAACCAATTACCAGTACTTAAGTGCATATTGTGTCTGTTAAACCACCTTGTGCATTTGCCCTTAGTCACATCCCTTTCTTGTAGGGACACTCTGCTGAGCATGAGTAGTAACTATCATCTGGGAAATCCACTCTCTGGAGTAAAGATTCTCGACGTTGGCTGTGGTGGTGGACTGCTAAGTGAGGTGAGAAACTGCTCACGTTTTGCTTGTTAAAAAGCATGCAAAGTATTTGAATTGTTTTCCTATTAAACTGCTTACTTTCTGATAATCCTCCAAGGAGGAGCTTTGCTCTTCTATGATATATTAGTTACTGAATGTTATGGAGTGCAGTGCGTTCCACAAAGCCCATAGAATATCTGGGCAGCAAAGTGGTGGTGGTTTACAGAAAAGAGAGGATTGTTAATAAGAAATTCTAAAATTCTGAGGTTCATCACACTGTTTCAAACACTGTAAAAAAAAGGAGAGGGGACGAATGATGTAGCAGCATTGGACTGTTCCTCTGGGCAGTCACAGTGTGACAATTTTTATTTTTTTTAATTTACAAGCCTAGGCAAGAATACTTTAATCATGACAACCCTCATTACCAAGGAAGTATTTTTTATTATAAACTTGTTTGTACATGTTCCTTTCTTTGAATTGTTTATCCTTTTTTTTTAATTATTATTGGTGGTGGGGATTCTTGCCTTTGCTTTGATCTCAAGGGAAAAGCAATGGAATAACGTCGAACACCTGGGAAACGCCTCCCCTCTGTCAGGGGTGATGCTCCTGGTACAAGGGCTGATGTTGCAGCTGCTTCCTGAGGAGTCTGCACAAACTTGGGCCTGAGAAGTAACTCTTCATGGTCTTTTGGTCTGAACAGGGCTGGATCCTATCAATATAGGAATGGTTTGTGAATTTAGGATTACAGATCTGGCTGATTTACTCTGCGAACTTCATCAGCGTCTGAACCGTGGTGTTACAAAGGGATCTGAGTATCTCCCTATGGTTTTTTTTTCTTTATTCTGAGCAAATTCCTGTAGTCTTGTGAGAGGCTGCTCCGTGACAAGGCTGGCAGAGCTGGTGTGCTGCGTCACCTCAGGCTGAACAAGCGGTGAATTTCAGGTTGGAATAACATACATGTGGTCATGTTCTGCAGCCTGTTTCAGTTTCAAAAGAGGTGATGCTTGAGGTGTTAACCTATGAGTAAGAAGACACTGGAGAAACTTGAGTGACAGCCAAACCTGATGCTATCCTGGTAAACATCAGTGTTTAGTTCTCAGCAAGGAGAAAGCCCTGGAGATAATCGTGTATTAAGTAACCATTAAAAAGATATGAGGATTTACCATTACAGGTGGATGTTGAAGAAAGTAATGACAGTAATTAAATACGGCATTGTTTTCCCACCTTTGTTTATGCTCTGGCAGAGAGTAATAGTGGAAGAAATCTTTATTTGGTGTAACAGGTTCTTCTGAAATACAATTTAAATGTATACATTCCAATATATAATTTTCTAAGAAAATTAACACCACCTCCCCCAGATCTTAAGGGTTTTTTTTTTCTTTAATAAACATTTGAAATAAAAGTGTTGTATCAAAGGTCATCATTTGTTGTTGCTTGTTTTAGTCTCTGGTAGATGTGTGTACATGGCAGAGTTGCAGAAAGCTTTAAGTAAATTGTTCTGGTGCAGACAATGAATTATACTCTGTATTTTTAGCCTCTAGGTAGACTGGGAGCTTCAGTTACCGGAATTGATCCTCTGGAGGACAACATTAGAACAGCAGATCGGCACAAGTCATTTGATCCGGTCCTGGCCACGAGAATACGGTACAAGTCCAGTTCACTGGAGGAGATTGTGGAAGGGTCTATGGAAACCTTTGATGTAATCGTAGCTTCTGAAGTCGTGGAGCATGTGGCTGACCTTGAAATGTTTATCAAGTGTTGCTCTCAGGTGTTGAAGGTAAGAGAGTTTTTGCTTTCATTATTGGGAATATTTTTTCTCTGTCATTATCAAGGCTTTCATTTGAAGGCATGTGAAAGCATCTGAATCTGCATTCATTCCTCCACCTGGAAGTACTTGAGATCTGAATCACGCTACAGAGGTGCTGTCCATTCTCCTTCATGGCGCAAGTGCATCTTCCCAACCTCAGTAACTAAAGAGCAAATTTATTTCCCCAGCCTTGCCTTAGAAAAGAGTCAGTGGCATCACCCAGCATTGCAGTGGTGCTTTGCATCGAGCCCTTAAGAAATCTGGTTGCATCTGATTGCACCTGGTGAGAGAAAACGTGGCAGTGCTGCTGTTGATGGCTGGCTGTGCCTCACACTGCATTCAGGCTGACTGTAGTGAGGTTGCTGATTCACAAGATTTTATTCCAGCTCTAGCTTCACATCAGATGTGCTCCTGGATCGCTTTTAAAGGAATCACAGTTATGCTTGGAGATAATCAAAGTGGTGCTTTATTCCTCTTGATATTATTTCATTTACAAAGAAGGATGGTAGGCCCAGTACACAAGCTCCTTTAACCTCTTGATTTATTTTTCTGGTCATTAGAAGGAGTACAGGTTATTTGAATGGAAACCTTAACTAATTTTCAGCCTGTTGGGGACATAGAAATTATCCTTTATTTCTACCCAACAGTCTCTAAGTACTTAGAATTCATTTCTAGCTTTCCTTTTGGACTCTGTAATCATTTTAAAAAGTCTCAAAATTTAAACACTATTACACATTTTGCTTTAAATTTTTAAAAGTTTATTTTTACAACAGGCATTGTATGTACCTTAATATCATCTATTTATCCATTTCTTGGGCAATGCTACATTTAGGTGTCTTTCTGGGCACAGGAGTTTTCAGACAGTCCAAGACACTGCTTACATTGATGCTTTGAGGACTACTGAGTCGTACTGTTAGACCATTATATTCTTTATTGTATTTAAATAGTATACTTGTAAATACCTGTCCTGGGATAAAATTAGTTCTTACTCTTGCAGCATGTAGACAGATTATGTGTTTTAATGCAATTAAATTTACAATTGAAAAACAAATATTCTTCTAATTGAACATTTTAATCTTTTACTTAGCCTGAAGGTTCTTTATTTATTACTACAATCAACAAAACACAGTTGTCCTATGTCCTGGGAATTGTGGTTGCAGAGAAGATAATGGGCATTGTCCCAGAAGGAACGCATGAGTGGGAGAAGTTTGTTCCCCCTGAGGAGCTGGAGCGCCTCCTGGAATCGAGTGAGTTCCAGGCCAGGGGATGGGAGTGCAGAGGAACCACTCAGATGCTCCCTGTAGAGATGGCAGGGGATAAGCTAGGTGGGGGGAGTGCTAGCAACAGTACACAGCCTTTCCTATGTCAGTTACATTGTAAGTATCATTTCTGGCTTAAAGACACTACTGCTTAATGGATTTTGCATAAAATAACTAAGTGGAATCCTAAGAATGCAGAGATTACTCAAACAAAATCACTGTTACAGCTGCCCTCCGTTTGATAGCCTAAATGAAAATGCCAAGGTTTTCCCTCCTGTTCTGGTGACAGAATGTGTGCTCTGAAGTGGTTCATATGCTCTGGATCAGGTTTGAGGAAGTAACTGTATTGGCACTCCAGAGCTGCACTGCTGCCATGGCACTGTGTGTCATCTTGGGAGAAGGTGGTTTTATTTTTGGTTGCTGCTCCGTGTTCTTTATTTGTGTTCCGTTACTAAAAGATTTTGTCAAAAATGTGAAGATGAAACCTACCACCAATTCATTAGTCAGTTCTTGAGGAACTGTAAGATACTTATCTGAAGTAATAATTAAATCTCCTTGGTTCAATTGCTTTTAAAATAGACAAAGCACTGAGCTGGGAGGAGTTTTGCCCATTGCCCTCTTTCTCTGCAGATGTTTTAAAACCCTCTCACTGAATATTTCACTTTCCTTTAGTTCACTGTAAAGAAGCTGAACTATGAGTTGAGCTGTTCTTTTGGCAAGGTCTTCTCCTGGCACTTGGCAGCAATGCCGTAAGGAACATGACTAATACTGGTTCACATGCTGCTGGTTCTTTCTGTTCTCCCTTAAAAAGGAGGAGCAGGTGCAGCGGGGTGATTTGTTTCGATGGGGTGTTTGTTTTCGGCCTTCCCTGGTGTATCCTGCTGGGACCCAGCAGAGCCATGCAGTGACCCGAGAGCTGCTCAGCAGGGAGTGCTAGATCACTCTTCACCAGCACCGAGTCCTTGGTGGCATTCTTCTGCCTCTTTCTCGTGTTTTCCATTTCTAATGGAAATCTGCAGAGTCCTTCGAAAACATGCTCAGATTTTGGTTTTGAAGTGTTTTATGTCAATCTGAAGATAATCTCCACCTGCAGAAAACATTACCAGTCACCCGAATATGGTGGGTTGAAGTTGGGGTTTCTAGCACACCACTTCATAGTGGCTCACCGTACAGCATGCTAATGGTACATGGCCTGGCACAGAGGGGTTGCTGCTACTGCCAACAGCAGGAGCCACTGTCCCCAGTGATGCCTGTTCTGCTGCTGCTGGTGGCGGTGGTGACAAAGGCCAGCTTGTGAAGCACTGCTCCCCAGCCCGGAGGAAGCAGTGTGTTTCAGACTTGCTGTTCTAAAGGGTTTGCTGTGGTGGAGACGTAGAATATTTAAGAACACCAGTTGCCTTATGGCTTCTTTCTTTTCCAGATGGTTTTTCAGTCAAGACTGTGAATGGGATGTTGTATAATCCCCTCTCGGGGTCGTGGAGCTGGATGGAAAACACGAGCATTAACTATGCCGTACACGCTGTGAAGTCTGGGGCTCAGGGACACTCAGGCCCCACAGACGCCCCATCAGAGGGGGACAGAGAGCAGCGCCCAGCCACAGCCGACACTACCGTGTGACTATCTGAGACGTGTGGTGGTGGCCACCAGGAACAGAAGAGAAGGTTTTACCCAGACGGACATAATAAAGCCTTTTGTAACAACAAGCTTGCTGTTTGCATTAATAATGCTTTTGCTATTTTTGGCCAAACTTTTAAGGGCAATATCAGGAAAAAAACCCGGGTGCCCATTATCTCAGGAATCTTTTAAGATTAAAATGAGCAAAGCTTTTAAAGAGTAAGTATTTTTATAAGATTGTAGTTCCAAATTATTGGACAGGGAAATGCAAATTACTCTGTCGGTAGCTTGGAGGAAGCTCTTGTATGTGATGGCATTTTCAGTCCTACTAGGAAAACAGATTTCCATAGTATATAGCTTACATGTAGAATGTGTTTAAAAACACAACAGTGTATGATAAATAAAATGCCTTAGATATTTTTGTTACTCAACTGCATCAGTTAAATATATGAAACACTTAAAAACCACAAACAGTTGTTTCTGTATTATGCCTTCTCCCGAGGAAGGGGGTGAGGCAGGGGAAGAGCACCAAGCCTCTTCTGTGGGGTCAGGCAGTTTCCCCAGCTGATGTGAGTCGACTGCAGCTGTGGAAGAGTCTCCTAGACCAGAGCTCCTCAGCTGTCAAAAGCCTCTTCACCATCAAGGTACTTGTGCCTGTGCCTGTCATTTCAGCTTTCTCCTTCTACCTGAATAAAGGGAAGTAAAGTTGCAGGTATAGTTTTATTAAGCAACCAGAACTTTATGCTAGAAAAATGGTACATGGGCAGTCTGTCCTAGAAATAAATGTCTTGTATTTGTCCATGGCCGTAACTCTTTCTTTCTCTCCTCCTCTTCTCAGCTTGTATGCAGGTAGAGAGGCAGGCCAGCTGTGTTTTTTGATTTATAGTTTGCAGAGATGAAAATTTAACTTTTGGAGTTTTGTTGTGCATTTTTCCAGCTGTAGGTGTTTGGTGGGCTACATTATTGTATTACACGTTTGCTTTTTCTGGCTTTGCTATATCCACACATTGCCTTGGGATCAAAGTTTCCTGATAAATCTGATCAAGCACAGAAGAACATCATTCATTTATAATGGAAATAATAGGAATTCATATAAATTAAGACTGGAAGGGGTTACCAAGTGTGATCACTTCCATGACAGTAAATTCTGCTTTGTAAAATCTGCTTGGGCTGAAGCTTGTCCTTGGGAAGAAGATTCATCTTTGTGTAAAGAGTTCAGTGATGGAGAAGCCACTCTGTCAATAGGTAAATTGTTCCAAAAGTTCATCAGTTGAAGTGGTCTAACCTCAGATCCCAGCCAGCTCATGAGGTTCAACAAGAACAAGTGCGAGGTCCTGCACCTGGATCAGGGCAATCCCAAGCACAAATACAGGCTGGGCAGAGAATGGCTCGAGAGAGGCCCTGAGGAGAAGGAATTGGGGGTATTGGTTAATGAGAACATGAGCCAGCAATGTGCTCTTGCAGCCCAGAAGGCCAACTGCATCTTGGGCTGCATCACAAGAAGTGTGGCCAGCAGGGTGAGGGAGGTGACTCTGCCCCTCTACTCTGCTCTGGTGAGACCTCACCTGGAGTACTGCGTCCAGAAGGACATGGAGCTGCTGGAGTGGGTCCAGAGGAGGGCCACGAAGATGTTCAAAGGGCTGCAGCACCTCCGCTATGAAACAGGCTGAGAGTTGGGTTTGTGCAGCCTGGAGGAGAGAAGGGGAACAACTTGTGGCTTGCTTGTGTTTTTTTCATTAAACTATGAGCCGCCTGGGGAAGGAACTGTTTGTTTTTTGCACTGCTGTTTCTATTGGACTGAGCACAAAAAGCCTTTGATGCTGCCTGGGTTCTCTGCCCAGGCTCACAAAAGGGCTCACGTCCCAAATTAACAACGGCTGGCATTCAGGCAGGAAGCACATGGATGTGATTGTCCATGGACACCCCTGGTTTTGACAAAAACCTTATCGCAAGCACCTGACCTTTTGTTCCTGCCTGTGTACAGGAGCCCTGTCAGGGCCTTAGTGAATGATGTGGTCAGAGGAGCAGGGGGTGCTTGAACAGGTCCTTGTACCCATGGGATGTCTCCAGATGTCCCGATGTGATCCATCCTCAGTCTGTAGCCCTCAGTTTTCCTCTCCTGGTGGAGTATTCTAACTTTTCTGGCTGTATTTCATCTCTCTGGTTAAAACAACCTCTTTTTCAGCTAGGAAGTAAGTGACTGAACTAGAGATCCTTTTCATGAGATACCAAACATTGCAAGAATATCCTACACCTTGCTTTTTAGCTGATTTTTTAAAAAAAATCCTTCCATTATTCATAAATGTGCATCTCTGCAAGTGCAATCAAATTCAGTACTGTGCACTGAATACATACTACATGATCATGCTGCAGAAACCTTTTGCTTAAAATCTGTGCATAAGAAAACAATAGAGATTTCACACTTTTCACAGCCCAGTTGTTGTGGAAATGTAATAGATGCTATTGAAATGGACAGAATTTAAGTAAAATAAGTTTGCAAATCGGTGGCTTTCTTGTTGCAGGTTGTTGATGAGTATGGAGCTACTGCTTTGATGCTTACAGGAATAGTGGTAAAAAAGTAATGTTATAGCACCAGGCAAGCACCTAGGACCAGGGTGAGGCAAGATGTGATTCTTGGCCTTGAGACTGGGAGAAAGTAATTTTTGGGGCTTACCTTTTGCAGCCTCTGCATTTATTTGTGGTTGTAGACCCTTGACTCTCCTGCTCCCAGCCGTTTGTTTCTGCAGCACAACAAACCAGAGCGAGGAGCTGATCTGGCCAAAAAATATCCAGCAGAGCAAACGATGGTGTTCTGGGTGGCCTCAGCTGTTCAGCTCAGATGCAGCTCATCGTGTTGTCGTGATCTCCCACATCAGTCCACACGGTCCCAGTCCCAACCCTTTGCTGAAACTGGTACTTGTCTGAGTTGTAAAACTTCTTTATTTTTACTTTTTTATTTTTCCTCCTTGGGGTGCTGGTGGTGGTTGTGCTGTTCAGGGAGCTGAATTCTCCCACTGCGGAGGACCGGTGCCAGTCAGGAGGCAAGCAGGGGGAGCACATGGCCGGAGAGCACGCAGAGTCCTGTCTTCTTGCATGGCACTTCCAGATCACAGCTGAAACACTCAATTGCACTCAAGCCAAATTTGAGTAGTATGAGAGCCTCTAGGGAGATCTGCATTTAATTTCCTTTTTAAAGAAAAACAGAACTTGAAGTTTCCATGATGTCTCATTATGGCATCTCACTGCCCATTCTTCCCTGGTGGTCCAGTGCCATTTCATGGCCACTTTTAGAGAACTTTACAATTTCTTTCCATATATTTCACAAACACTCTGTGTCATGTTCCTAGGGAATGGAAAAGAGGAGGGAGAAAGTAGTAGGAGCAGAAATGTGTGGTGGCTGTGAGTGGAGATATGAATAACTACTATCTTGTAGGAAGTTTTTCTGAAAACAGCTTCTCAACTTTCATTATGTTGAAATCTCAGCTTTAATTAAAAAAAAAAAGTGTATTTTCCACACACTTCTGAGAAACGGTTGAAAGGAATAATTGCATTCAGTCTCCAGGTTCAGAAGGCAAAAGGCTCAGCTCCTGTCATTAGCCAGGCAGGTGAAGCAGATGGGAGGAGAAAATGTGAGACACAAGATGAATCACCACATTGGGGTTGACACTGTAGTTGTGGGGATTTGGGAGGCACCCAAGAGTACCCGGAATGGGGGACAGCATTGAAAAGCCAGGTGCTGTAGAAGGAAGAAGAACAATGTCTGGAAGATAAATGTGATTCCAATGGTGATGGGAAATGTGAAATAATGATATATGGGGCAGCCAGGTCCAAGTGTGCCTTCAAAGCAGAGCTGCTGATGCTTGGGAGAGCGGCTCTGTGTCAGAGGGACACAACAGTTCGGGTATTCACAGCCTCCCACTTGGTTTTTTGCATGTTAACCTCCAGTGTTTTGCCCCAAATGCCCACCCCCTCGCTGGCATCCTGCAAAGGAAAGGTGGGCTCCTCTCGCTTTACACTCAATATTGGTCATTTATCACTCGTGGGTAGCTGCCAGCTCCCTCATTCATGGTGCTCCCCGTGTCTGTGTAGAGGATCTCTTACCCTGCTGCATGCAGGTGTATTCCCGCTGTACTTCTCTGCATTTAATTCCCTTTTATCAGGAGCATAAGCTAGAGCAAAACTTCACTGTTGATCTCAGGATGCCCACAGGTAAAGCAGACTGTGTGGTTTATTCGGTTCTGTGCTGTCTCAGGATAACTTTCTGGTGTTCTAAATTGGGGTGAACTTGGTTGCACTATCCCCTGCTTCATGATGAGTGACCAAAAAATAGTTTTTTCAATGTAATGCACTGTCTTGCCATCATCATAATGTATTTTCCCCAGCCCCTTTTCCAATGGGAAGTAGAACGCTACTTTTATAGCCTCTTCAAAATAATTTGATTCTGCTTAGGCTGAACAGTACTATAAATTTGAATAAAAATAACATTATTTTCAGATGGTGATTTTGTGATAAAAATCAGCCCCTGGTTACTCCAGGTTATAGGACAAAACTTTAATCCTTTAAAGTTTGTGATAACAGTAGACCAAATCTGTACACATGTCCCGTTTTCTTGAAGCAACACAAAATGATGTCATGTTTTATTCTATCCACAAGGGCTGGGATTTCACCCAGGATGTAAAATCACCTGACCTGCCTTGACTTACACATGCAGTAATTGCATAGCCACCTCTCAGTGCATTTGGAATTCAGGATGTATACTTTGATCTGCATTTTATTGTGCTTTTATTCCCACATGGAGTCACTCCAAAGATATAATCGATATTCACTCTTTTATAAAAAATAAAATTATTTTCTGCTTAAAAGCATTGTGTAGACCATTAGTGTTCCATTAATAAATCTGGAACCTACATGGCGTCCTCATGAGGTGTTTTAACTTAAAAAAACCTCAACCCTGAAACAACTAGGAGATCAAACTGATACTACTGTCTTGTACAGTAGTTGTA